AGAGCTGTAATACCTGGGGGCTCACAGAGCCAGTGTAACACAGCTATAATACCTGGGGACTCACAGAGCCAGGCTAAGACAGCTGTAAAACCTGGGGGCTCACATAGTCATACTAAGACAGCTGTAATACCTGGGGGCTCACAGAGCCAGGCTAAGACAGCTGTAATACCTGGGGGCTCACAGAGCCAGACTAAGACAGCTGTAATACCTGCGGGCTCAGAGCCAGACTAAGTCAGCTGTAATACCTGGGGGCGCACAGAGTCAGACTTGGACAGCTGTAATTCCTGGGGGCTCACAGAGCCAGACTTAGACAGCTGTAATACCTGGGGGCTCACAGAGCCAGACTAAGACAGCTGCAGTACCTGGGGACTCACAGACTAAGACAGCTGTAACACCTGGGGGCTCACAGAGCCAGACTAAGGCAGCTGTAATACCTGGGGGCTCACAGAGCCAGACTAAGGCAGCTGTAATACCTGGGGGCTCACAGAGCCAGACTTGGACAGCTGTAATACCTGGGGGCTCACAGAGCCAGACTAAGGCAGCTGTAACACCTGGGGGCTCACAGAGCCAGGCTAAGACAGCTGTAATACCTGGGGCCTCACAGAGCCAGTCTAAGACAGCTGTAATACCTAGGGGCTCACAGAGCCAGGCTAAGACAGCTGTAATACCTGGGGGCTCACGGAGCCAGACCAAGGCAGCTGTAATACCTGGGGGCTCACAGAGCCAGGCTAATACAGCTGTAATACCTGGGGGCTCACAGAGTCAGACTAAGACAGCTGTAATACCTGGGGGCTCACGGAGCCAGACTAAGGCAGCTGTAATACCTTTGGGTCTCACAGAGCTAGGCTAAGGCAGCTGTAATACCTGGGGGCTCACAGAGCCAGACTAAGGCAGCTGTAATACCTGGGGGCTCACAGAGCCAGTCTAAGGCAGCTGTAATACCTGGGTGCTCACAGAGCCAGGCTAAGGCAGCTGTAATTCTTGGGGGCTCACAGAGCCAGACTAATACAGCTGTAATACCTGGGGGCTCAGATACAGACTAAAACAGCTGTAACACCTGGGGGCTCACAGAGCCAGACTAAGGCAGCTGTAATACCTGGGGGCTCACAGAGCCAGTCTAAGGCAGCTGTACTACCTGGGGGCTCACGGAGCCAGACTGAGGCAGCTGTAATACCTGGGGGCTCACAGAGCCAGGCTAAGACAGCTGTAATACCTGGGGGTTCACAGACTCAGACTAAGACAGCTGTAATACCTGGGGGCTCACGGAGCCAGACTAAGACAGCTGTAACACCTGGGGGCTCACAGAGCCAGACTAAGGCAGCTGTAACACCTGGGGGCTCACAGAGCCAGACTAAGGCAGCTGTAATACCTGGGGGCTCACAGAGCCAGACTAAGGCAGCTGTAATACCTGGGGGCTCACAGAGCCAGACTTGGACAGCTGTAATACCTGGGGGCTCACAGAGCCAGACTAAGGCAGCTGTAACACCTGGGGGCTCACAGAGCCAGGCTAAGACAGCTGTAATACCTGGGGCCTCACAGAGCCAGTCTAAGACAGCTGTAATACCTAGGGGCTCACAGAGCCAGGCTAAGACAGCTGTAATACCTGGGGGCTCACGGAGCCAGACCAAGGCAGCTGTAATACCTAGGGGCTCACAGAGCCAGGCTAATACAGCTGTAATACCTGGGGGCTCACAGAGTCAGACTAAGACAGCTGTAATACCTGGGGGCTCACGGAGCCAGACTAAGGCAGCTGTAATACCTTTGGGGCTCACAGAGCTAGGCTAAGGCAGCTGTAATACCTGGGGGCTCACAGAGCCAGACTAAGGCAGCTGTAATACCTGGGGGCTCACAGAGCCAGTCTAAGGCAGCTGTAATACCTGGGTGCTCACAGAGCCAGGCTAAGGCAGCTGTAATTCTTGGGGGCTCACAGAGCCAGACTAATACAGCTGTAATACCTGGGGGCTCAGATACAGACTAAAACAGCTGTAACACCTGGGGGCTCACAGAGCCAGACTAAGGCAGCTGTAATACCTGGGGGCTCACAGAGCCAGTCTAAGGCAGCTGTACTACCTGGGGGCTCACGGAGCCAGACTGAGGCAGCTGTAATACCTGGGGGCTCACAGAGCCAGGCTAAGACAGCTGTAATACCTGGGGGTTCACAGACTCAGACTAAGACAGCTGTAATACCTGGGGGCTCACGGAGCCAGACTAAGACAGCTGTAACACCTGGGGGCTCACAGAGCCAGACTAAGGCAGCTGTAATACCTGGGGATTCACAGAGGCAGACTAAAGCAACTGTAATACCTGGGGCTCACAGAGTCCGACTAAGGCAGCTGTAACACCTGGGGGCTCACAGAGCCAGACTAAGGCAGGTGTAACACCTGGGGCTCAAAGAGCCACACTAAGACAGCTGTAATACCTGGGGGCTCACAGAGCCAGACTAAAACAGCTGTAATACCTGGGGGCTCAAAGAGCCACACTAAGACAGCTGTCATACCTGGGGGCTCACAGAGCAAGACTAAGACAGCTGTAATACCTGGGGGCTCACAGAGCCAGAATAAGACAGCTGTAATACCTGGGGGCTCACAGAGCCAGTCTAACACAGCTATAATACCTGGGGGCTCACAGAGCCAGACTAAGACAGCTGTAACACCTGGGGGCTTACAGAGCCAGAGTAAGACAGCTGTAATATCTGGGAGCTCACAGAGCCAGACTAAAACAGCTGTAATACCTGGGGACTCACAGAGCCAGACTAAGACAGCTGTGATACCTGGGGGCTCACAGAGCCACACTAAGACAGCTGTAATATCTGGGAGCTCACAGAGCCAGACTAAGGCAGCTGTAATTCCTGGGGGCTCACAGAGCCAGACTAAGGCAGCTGTAATACTTTGTGGCTCACAGAGCCAGACTAAGGCAGCTGTAATACCTGGGGGCTCACAGAGCCAGACTAAGGCAGGTGTAATACCTGCTGGCTCACAGAGCCAGACTGAGGCAGCTGTAATACCTGGGGGCTCACAGAGCCAGACTCAGACAGCTGTAATACCTGGGGGCTCACAGAGCCAGACTCGGACAGCTGTAATACCTGGGGGCTTACACAGCCAGACAAAGACAGCTGTGATACCTGGGGGCTCACATAGCCAGACTAAGACAGCTGTAATACTCGTGGGCTCATAGAGCCACCCGTGGTTGCAAGATTTTAACTCCCTTGCCTGGTATGCAGGAGGTTGTGGGTTTTAATCCCGACCCTGACGCTGTATATTTGGATTTTGCGCCTCCCCCCCCCCCCATGATTGCATGGATTTTCCTCCCTAACCCCTAACCCTAACGATGATTTGGCCTCTTTGTTGAGCGATCATTTGTGATGTCCAGGGTCGTTTGTGATTAAGAGATACGTAGCAACTCGGTGGGGGCCTTACCTGCTAAAATAAAGAACTAAATAAATTGTTGAGTTTTCATTTGAGCTTCCTACAAAGTCCCATCACAAGGAGAGAAACACAGACAGACACAATAATTGTGCGTCCTGAAACTCAATTTCCCTAATGCGAGGATGACCGCCGTTCACGTGGTGGTTATGTTCCTTGACGAGATCGAGAAACTACATCATTAGACCTCCTTTGCCAGTACCAAAAAGGCGTCATCTGGTCGAGCACCAATTGGGTCGAGGCTCAAAAGAAAGCCGTCCCTTGGTGTGGACCAATCAGTTTCAAGGACAATGCATCATATTTTCAAAGTATGTTTTTGTGTTTGCATTTTGACTGCAGGTGTCGTGGTTAATGCAGTGACATGAATCCTTGTAAAAAGGTTTCGGTTTTTTTGGCCAGAAAAAAGGGGGAAAACCCTATTATTACATTTTGGTACTGGCAAGGGAGGTCTAATGATGTAGATGCTCATCCCGAGCCCTCATTACTTTGATAGTGGCATTGTCTTTGAGCTGTGTGACGCCTTTTGGCGTCATCTGGTCGAGCACCAATTGGGTCGAGGCTCAAAAGAAAGCCGTCCCTTGGTGTGGACCAATCAGTTTCAAGGACAATGCATCATCATATTATCATAGTATGTTTTTTGTTTGCATTTTGACTGCAGGTATGTTGGTTAATGCAGTGCCATGAATCCTCGTTAAAAGGTTTAAGTTTTGTTGCCAGAAAAAAGGGGAAAAACTTTATTATTAGAGATCGAGAAACTTACCGAGGTGGGGTTGTGGGGATGGGGGGGGCGTTTGAACCATTCGGGGACCTTCTGTTGAAATTCCGTCGCCTACCTCAGACTTCCGCTCGGTGTGTGCGGCACCGATGATAACGCAAAGCTGTTATAAGCACCCTTGGCACAAAATAGCAGAGCTTGTCACATCCGTTGGACAGTGGGCACAGGAGGGGATGGGAACATGTCGGCATGAGGTGAGGAGGCAAAGGAAAGTGATTTATATTCTTAGTTCTTTCGGTAAAGTCACGTTGAAGGGAAACAACAAAATAATAAAATATATATAAAACAATAAAAATTCTCACGACGTTTCGACCATAGCACAAACGGTCGTCTTCAGGTGTGACGACCGTTTGTGTTATGGTCGAAACGTCGTGAGAATTTGTATTGTTTTATATATATTTTATTATTTTGTTGTTTCCCTTCAACGTGACTTTACCGAAATAACTAAGAATATGAATTACTGCAGTCACGAAAGCTTTAAATCAGAAAGTGATTTAGTTGAGAGAGAAGGGGCGAGGGAAGGTTGGAGGGGAGGGGCAGAGAGCGTGGAGGGGGGGGGAAGTGGAAGGGGGACGAGATGGCGGCCGAGACTGGGAGCTGCACGTGGCAAGAGAGAGAGAGAGACATTCTCCGTGCGTTAGCCCTCTGTGTTTCCTCCTTAGAATAATAAGATTGTATTGTAGAGCATCGTTCATGCAAAACTGCATCTCGCAAACCCCGCGTGGATAACCGTCGTTCCTTTCCACCTCTCCCCCCCTGCCCCCCCCGGTATCTGCACTCCCGACGCTTCTTGCTGCTCGCAGTGATCAGCGTCGGACTTGGGGACGCCTCAGCCGAGGGGGCGGGTGGCCGACAGCGCGCCGTTGCCGTCGCAGCTTCACCCGGCGATCGCAACCCGACGGACCCAACCCCGAAACGAGATATGGCCGACGTTGCCGAGCAGGAGCAGCTCGTGCTGCAGGAGCATCATCGGGAGCAGCCGCAGGAGCAGCAGCAGCAGGAGCAGCAGCAGGAGCAGCAGCAGCAGCCGCCGCAGCAGCAGCAGCAGCAGCAGGCCGACCTCACGCCCGCGTCCTTCCGGCCCGGATCGTGGTCGGAGACCGAGACCAACGCTCTGCTGGACGCGTGGGCCGACCGCGACATCCAGGACTCGCTGGCCCTCGCCCCGCACGAGCAGGCGTGCGTGTACGAGCGCGTGCGCGACCGCCTCGTCGCGGCGCTGCCCGGCTCCCAGCGCTCGGCGCAGGACTGTCGCCTGCGCATCCGGAAGCTCAAGATGGTGTACGCCAAGTCGCGCAAGGCGGTGGCACAGGCGCAGGAGCAGGGCACGGTGCGCCTCTCGCGCTCGCCCTACTACGAGAAGCTGGACAAGGTGCTGGGGCACATGCCCATGGCGGCCGGGGTGGTTCGCGGCGGCCGAGGAGGGAAAGGAGGTTGGTGGCGCCCTCGGGTTTCGCAGACGCACGCACGCGGTGGTGTGGGTGGGAGAGGGGAGGGAGTGGGGAGGGAGGGAGGGAGAGGGGAGGGAGAGGGGTGGGAGAGGGGAGGGAGAGGGGTGGGAGAGGGGAGGGTGAGGGGTGGGAGAGGGGAGGGTGAGGGGTGGGAGAGGGGAGGGTGAGGGGTGGGAGAGGGGAGGGAGAGGGGAGGGAGAGGGGAGGGAGAGGGGAGAGAGAGGGGAGGGAGAGGGGAGGGAGAGGGGAGGGAGAGGGGAGGGAGAGGGGAGGGAGGGAGAGAGGGGAGGGAGGGAGGGAGAGGGGAGAGAGAGAGAGGGGAGGAAGGGAGGGAGACGGGAGGGGGAGGGGAGGGAGAGGGGAGGGAGAGGAGAGGGAGAGGAGAGGGAGAGGCGAGGGAGAGAGAGGAGAGGGTAGTGAGAGGGGAGGGGGAGGGAGAGGGGAGGGGAGAGGGAAGGGGGAGAGAGAGGGGAGGGAGAGGGGAGGGGGAGGGGAGTGAGAGGGGAGGGAGAGAGAGAGAGCGGGCGCTGGCTTGTTGCGTTTTGTTCCGTCGTTAATTGCGACGCCGCACCACTGCCAATGCGGCAGCGGCACCGGCAGCGTCACCGAATAATTTGTTGGAATTGATAATAATTGGTGATGGACCCGGTGCTTGTGACGCAGTCTGCATGCCGAGTGTTCTCCACGTACTCCCGTTACCTTCCACTCGAAGCGACTGAATTGGCCAAGTCTAATTTTAAACTACAAACTATTTCTAGATTCGAAGCTTTCGTGACTGCAAGGATTCATACTCTTTGGGGTTTTTTTTCGTTAAAGTCACGTAGGTAAAATAATCAATAAAATAAATGGAAAAAACCTAAATAAAATCACGACGTTTCAGAGGCAACACAAGCTTCCGTCTTCAGGTGGAAACCGTCACAGCAAAATTGCTGTATCAAGTGAAGGGAGCTCTCAGATACCCGAGATTATATACAGGTTAAGGGGGGGGAGGAGCCAAGAAAGGCCGTGGGGGGTGGGGCTAAGTTAAGCCGCCTTTTGTTATGCTGCAGGGGGTTAGGGGGGTGAGATGGCCGTGTGCAGGTTGAACAGCATTACATACATCAGGGGTCGGGAACCTTTTTGACTAAGAGAGCCATGAAAGCAAAAAATTTGGAAATTTATTTCAGTGAGAGCCATATAATATATTTTAAAAGTGAATTCAACTAAATGTCAGTATAATAAGCCTCTGAATTTATTCTTTTAAATAATGTTGTTATAACACTCACCATTAATGCGACTTCTGGTGCTGCATGGATTTGCTGATGTCTTTGTAGTCGGGTTGGTACTTGGTGAGGTTAAGCTTCATGCAAGCGTTGAGGCTTTCATCCGTTAAACGTGATCGTAGGTTGGACTTGATGTTTTTAAGATGTGAGAATGACTGCTCACATGCATACGTAGATCCAAACATGGTCAATACAGCAATACTCACACGCTGCAGTGTGTGGAATGTGACAGGAAGCGCGTTCCAAGTTTTGAGAATCAGCTGGTCTTCGGGTTGGAGTTTTTTCATTTCTGTCCACATGTGCTTGCTCGCCAACTCCGCTTTCTGTCGTGTGATTCTTTCCAAATCTTCATTCAGTGACTTGAACTTATTCACCCACATGTCTGAGGCCTTCAGGTCAGCCACTTCTGCTTCAAAATCTCTGACGGAGACACCAGGGATGTAATTCAGGTCGGCTGTGTTCAGTGAACACTCGTTTGGATGGGTGATGAACTTAAAAAGACGAGTGTGCTCACGAAATTCTCCAAAGCGTGCTTTGAAGGACTGTAGGAGACTGGATGTGCAGCCAGCTAGCTGGTGGAGATCAAGGTTTTGAATGGGCTCACTTGCTGTGCATGCATCTTTAAATTGGCTCAGTTTTTCAAAATGTAGTAAACGACCTGTTTCAAGATCCGTGATGAAAAGCTCCAGCTTGTTTTCAAAAGCAAATACAGCTTGTTGAAGGGATAACACTGTATTTCCAATGCCTTGTATTTTCACGTTGAGCTGGTTCAGATGTTCAGTCAGATCTACGAGATAGTAAAACTTGAGGAGCCACTCGGTGTCGGCTAGCTCAGGATGCCCGACGCCTTTCATTTCAAGGAAAGTCCGGATTTCGTTCAGGCAAGCCGCAAAACGGCTAAGCACCTTCCCTCTTGACAACCAACGCACATTGCTGTGCAAAAGCAGACCAGGATAGTTATTTACAACTTCATCCAGCAGTGTTTTAAACTGGCGATCATTTAAGGCTCGGGCAACAATAAAGTTGATCACACGAATGACCAGCGACATCACTTCGCCAAACTGCCTGTCACACATCTGAGCACAAAGTGCCTCCTGGTGTATAATGCAATGGAAACTTAGGATGGGTCTATTTTCATGTTCACGGAGAAGCGCCACAAATCATTTGTTTTTCCCCACCATACACGGAGCACCATCAGTACACACTGAGAGAAGTTTATCCATAGGTAGACTTTTTTCTTGAGCAAACTCCATGAAAGACTTGAATAAATCCCCACCTCTTGTGGACCCTTTTAATGGCAGAACAGCAAGACTTTCTTCGCGCAGTGTGTCACCAACAGCATATCTTGCAATCACGCTGAACTGCGACAAATGGCTCACGTCTGTTGACTCATCCAAAGCCAGAGAAAAGAACGGCGCTGCATTTATGTCCTTCACTTGCGTTTCCTCCACTTTGTTTGCCATCACGATGGTACGATCATGAACAGTTCTTGCCGACAGAGGCATGTCTTGTATCCGTTTGATTATCTTGTCTTTGTTCGGAAGATCATCAAAAAGTTCATTGGCTACATCCAGCATGAACGTTTTAGCATACTCGCCATCTGTGAATGGTTTTCCGTTCCTCACTATTGCTAAAGAACCAGCAAAGCTAGCCGAATTATAGTCACCTTGCCGGGTCCATACGCGGAGTTGCTGCTGGCTAGCTTGCACCCTGCTCAGAAGCTCTTGGCACGCTTTCTTTCTGCTGTCTCCCGCAGGGTATTTTGATGCAAAGGTAGCGTGGCGCGTGTCGAAGTGCCGCTTTACATTCGACCGTTTCAACGATGTAATTTTGTCATTGCAAATTAGACACACCGCAGAACCCGCTCTCTCCACAAAGGCGAATTCTTCGGTCCATTCGTCCTGAAATGTACGATACTCGTCGTCTTTTTTTCTTTTCGCCATCTTCTTCGTCGAAGGGTTAGCTTTGAGCTAATGACCGAGCAGACGCAGTCTCAGACTGATTCAAAAGGGGGCGTTTACCTGTTTTACCCAGCAACGGCAAACGTAGGCCAGTATCATCCAATTAAAATAATGGACAATTGCTCCTGCAGCCCTGAACAGGACATGCGCAGTGAAAAATCGATGGATGGATTAAAACAAGTGAGAATATTTTGTTTTATCTGCGAGCCATATGCAATCATCAAAAGAGCCACATCTGGCTCGCGAGCCATAGGTTCCCGACCCCTGACATACATGAACCAGAGGCAGGTGGCAGTATTTAAGCTGACAAACTGGTTGCCTTGCAGTAGATTTCTGGTGAAAAAAACAAATAGTTTGTATACTCTTTGGGTTTTTGTTTTACCTACGTGACTTTACCGAACGACAAACAAACCCCACAGAGCATACAAACTGTAATAATAGGGTTTTTTCCCTTTTTCTGACGCCTTTTGGTGTCATCTGGTCGAGCACCAATTTGGTCGAGGCTCAAAAGAAAGCCGTCCCTTGGTGTGGACCAATCAGTTTCAAGGACAATGCATCATCATATTATCATAGTGTGTTTTTTGTTTGCATTTTGACTGCAGGTATTGTGGTTAATGCAGTGACATGAATCCTCGTAAAAAAGGTTTCAGTTTTGTTGCCAGAAAAAATGGAAAAACCCTGTTATTACATTTTGGTACTGGCAAAGGAGGTCTAATGAAGTATACAAACTATTCGTTTTTTTTCCACCGGGCAAGGTCCCGCCGAGCTAATATTACAGCTCTTTTTTTTCCCCAGCGATGACCTGGCCCACGCGTGGTGACCACGCCCGTCAAAACGGCGTTGTCACCGCACGTGGGTGGTTGTAGTCGTAGGCAACGAAACCTCGACGGAGATCAATCCACGACGCACGTTGAGAGAAACCGCGTGAACTCCGCTAAACGGCCAGGGTCCGGGATCGAACCCCCCCGCGGCCCCGATGCGTGCCAGGCGAGGGAGACGCGATAAGGCGGCGCGCGGTTCTTCACCTTCACCGCAGCCTCGCTCCACTTTGGTTCTCAATCTTTAACAACTAAAAAAAGTATCGCGTTAATAAACGCACGAAGTAAGTTTAAAGTGCCCCGTGCTTAATTTGACTTTAAGATGATTTACCTTAAAAAAAAATCTGTCCGTGCCTCGCGCCCCCCGGGAAGGGCATCTCGCACACCCAGGTTCAAGAGCCACTGAGGCGAGGTCTCGGGCACCGCCACACCCCACCGCTGAGCGTCTGGGCTCCAGCATTTGGAGGCTGAAATTCTCGCGTTATCCTCCCGGGTCACGTGGGTAGAAAAAAAAATAATAGATCACCTCAAGACGGTCGCTTGCGTTGCCATGGAAACGTCGTGATCTATTATTATTATTATTCCTACCCACTACGAGACTTTACCGAAAGAACCAAAGAGTACGGATGTCTGCAGTCACGAAAGCTTCAAATCGAGATGCTATCCCTCACGGGCTCCGCTCTGGTGCCTCGGCGTTCTCGGAGCCGGAGCCGGGCCTAACCCTGCAGTGGCGGAAGCTTCCCTCTGACCGCCGGCTGTCCTCCTCCTCTTCCCCCCCCCGCCGCCCCGTCGTCCCCAGCGGAGAGCTCTTACGAGGAACTGGACGAGTTCGACGTGGACTTCGGCAAGGTGGGTATCGACCGCTTCCACGAGGACTCCCACGTCGACTTCTCGTCCAGCGACAGCATTGGCAGCTTCCTGCAGGACGCCTCGGCCAAGTGTGAGTTGGGGGTTCACCCCGAAGGTGAACGCTGTGGGGGGGGGGGGGGGCGACGGTGACCGGGGGGGGGGGGAGGGGCGACGGTGAACGTGGTGGGGGGGAGGGGCGACGGTGAACGCGGTGGGGGGGAGGGGCGACGGTGAACGTGGTGGGGGGGTGGTGACGGTGAACGCGGTGGGGGGGGCGACGGTGAACATGGTGGGGGAGGGGCAGCGGTGAACGTGGTGGGGGGAGGGGCGACGGTGAACGTGGTGGGGGGGTGGTGACGGTGAACGCGGTGGGGGGGGGCGACGGTGAACGTGGTGGGGGGGAGGGGCGACGGCGACGTTCGCGCGAAGCCCAGCCGCGCTCGCTCGTCTCACTCACCCCCCTCCCACTTACCCTCTTCACCCCCCCCCCCCACCCCTCTCCCGTCCGGTAGCCGGCGGCTCGCTGTGGAAGCCGTGGGACGTGCGCGAGACGAGCGCCCTGCTCGACGTGTGGCTGGCGCCCGACATGCAGGCGGCGCTGGTGGCGGAGCCGCGCGGCGCCGCCACCAGCGTGTACGGGCGCGTGCGCGACGGCCTCGTCGCGGCGCTGCCCGGCTGCCGGCGGACGCCGCACGAGTGCCGGGCGCGCATCAAGAAGCTCAAGATGATGTACGCCAAGGCGCGGCGGGTCGCGGCCGGTCAGGCGCCCAAGCACAGCGCCGACCGGTTCACTCACTCGCAGCTCTTCGACAAGATGGACCGGGTGCTGGGACGGGGCCAGCAGGGCGGGGAGGCCGAGGCGCTCGCCGTGGACGACGCCGACGACGACGAAGCGATGGGTGAGGAGGAGCTGGTTCTAAGCGGGGGGCGGGGGGGGGGGCTTTCGCCCGACCGATGTCATCCACGGCGCGGAGGCTTTGTTGCTGGGCTTGATGGCGTCGATGGAAATGTGTCGTTAAACCCTCCACCGCCACCCCGACAGGGCCAGCTTGCAAAGGTTTCGTAGTCTTAGCTCTTTCGGTAAAGTCACGTTGAAGAGGAAACAATAAAATAATAAAATATATATGAAACAATAAAAATTCTCACGACGTTTCTACTACAACACAAACGGTCGTCGTCAGGTGTGAAAAGCAACGGCAAGAAACATTTGAAAGAAGTGGCGGTTCGCATTTATCTATTTTATATCTATTTTATTTTATTGTTTTCCCTTCAACGTGACTTTACCGAAAGAGCTAAGAATATGAATTACTGCAGTCACGAAAGCTTTAAATCAAAATTTGTAAAGGTTTGTCACGCAAACAGAACGTGGCCAATTCGGTACTAGTGCAGCACTAACCGCTTGTGTGTTGGAGAGCAATATCCACAACATTTACAATCTTTGAGAACGACGTTTCGCCAGTAATTGTAACCGGCATCATCAGGCGACAGTCAGATTTGTGGATGAATCCTACTCCTGTTTCTTAAATAGAGGGGTTAGGTGTGTTCAGGAATGAAACAGGAGGAGGATTTCTCCTCGAATCTGGCTGTCGCCTGATGATGCCGGTGGTAAATAAACAGCAGCAGGCATCGTCAGGGTCGGGATTGAGCCCACGAACTCCTGCACGCCGGGCCAAAGTAGTTACCATTTCCGAGCCACTGTGATGAAGAAGAGAGAGAAGCAGCCTCCAAATAAACAGCAGCAGGCATCGTCAGGGTCGGGATTGAGCCCACGAACTCCTGCACGCCGGGCGAGGTGGCGCCCCAGGTGCGGCGAGCGGTAATCTCCCACCCCCTCTCCTCCTGTCTCAAACATTCTGGAATTCTGCGATCCGTAAGCTCGCGTCTAAACCCTTTAGGAGGGTGGTTTCATCGCCGCGAGCCCGCCGAGCGGGGGGCAGCCGACGACGTGTTACTAACGCTCCGGTCCCGGCACGACCCCGCCGGGCGCCGTCCCTGTTGTCGTCCCCCGCAGCCGCCGAGGGCTTCCTCGACTCCCCGATGCACCAGACTTGTTCCGTGCCGCAGTCCCCGGCGACCCGTGGCGGCGGCTCCGGCGGCGGCGGCGGCGGCGGCGCTTGCTGGTCGGTGTCCGAGACCAACGCCCTGCTTGACGTGTGGGCCGAGGACGACATCCAGGCGATGCTGGCGTCGCCGACGGCGCGCAACAACGCGTGCGTCTACGACCTGGTGCGCGACCGCCTCGCCGCGGCCGCGCCGCCGCCGTCGCCCGACGCGCCGCCGCGCTCGGCGCAGGACTGCCGCCTGCGCATCAAGAAGCTCAAGACGGTGTACGCCAAGTCGCGCAAGGGCGTGGCGCAGGCGCAGGAGCAGGGCACCGCGCGGGCCTCCAAGTCCCCCTACTACGAGAAGCTCGACAGGGTGCTGGGCCACCTGGCCGTCAGGGAGGCCAACGGCACGGCGGCGAGCGTCAAGCGGGCGGCGGCGGCGGCGGACGTCGGGAAGGCCGGTAGGGGCAGCGCCACGTTCGCTTTCGTCGCCGCCGTCGTCGGTGGAAGTTTCCTCCGGGTGCTCCCGTTTATATATAAAAATATTTTTTTATTTTATTTATTTCTTTTATTTATTTCCCCCTCCGCATTTCAGAATCGACGTCGCTCGTTTCCAGCTGGTTTGGCTGTGGCTGTAAATTTCCACACGGCGACGGCGACGACTTTGTTGAGACGTTACCATTCGTCAGTTTAACACGTAGCAGGGCTTTCGCGGTCATTGCCATCCATGGCGCAGGTTTTGTTGGGTTGGGATCGCGTAAATATGAATGTTGTGTCGTTAAACCCGCCACCACCCGACTCGGCCAGTTAGTAAAGGTTTGTCACGTAAACAGAACGTGGCCAATTCGTTACAGCGCTAACCGGTGTGTTAGAGAGCAAATCCACAAGAATTACAATCCGAGTACGACGTTTCGCCAGTAATCGCAGCTAGCATCATCAAGGCGGACAGCCAGATTTGTGATCTCTCCGCCTGATGATGCTGGTTGTAATTTACTGGCGAAACGTCACGGGACTCAAGATTGTGAATGTTGTGGATGTTGTGGATTCGCTCTCCAACACACAAGCGGTTAGTGCTGTACCGGTAACGAATTGGCCACGTTTTGTTTACGTGACAAACCCCTGTGACTGGCTGCGGTGGGTGGTGGCGGGTTTAACGACGCAACATTTATATTTACAACCCCCCAAAAAAAAACCACTTATGGCTATCATTTGCGGTGGCCAAGGTGGCTTCTGAGAAAGAGCTACACAGCAGCTCAGCGGTCGCCTTACCTGGAAGCATAAACATTAGTTTAGTAGTCTACAGTGTCACGGACTTTGTGACCTCTAACCCCCACCACATCCCCCTCCCCCCCTCCCTTGATCGGCAGCATCCACGCCAGCTGCCTTGCCCGCCGTGTCGGAGCGGAGGGGCGTGAAGCGCCACGGCTCCCCGGGCGACGAGGGCGAGGCGCCGGGCAAGGCGGCGCCCGAAGCCGGCGGCGGCGGCGGCGGCGGCGTTCAGGCGTCGTCGGCGGCCGCCGTGGAGGAGCTGGTGAGCACCTTCCTGCGGCTGGAGGAGCGCCGCGAGCGCCGCGAGCGCGAGCTGGAGGCGCGCCTCACGCGCCTCTACATGCAGTGGGAGGAACGGCGGCGGCGCGAGGACCGCGCCTTCCTCGCCACGCTCGCCGCCATGCAGGCGCAGATGCAGGACAAGATCGTCGGGGTCATGGCGGCCGCGACGGGGGCGGCCCCGGCCACGACGGTGACGTCTCCTCCTCCTCCTCCTCCTCCCCCGTCGGCGGCCGCGTCGGCCCTCGCGGCTTCCCGAGCCGTTCCGACCGCCGCCGCCGCCGCCGCCGCCGCGGTGACCCCGGGCGACGCGGCGGCGGCGGCGGCGGCGGCGGCCCTGCTGGCGGCCTCTTTGGGGGCTTCCGCTGAGGTGTTCGGCCAGGATTCCGCGGACGCCTCCTTTGAGGATTCCGCGGAAATGGAGACGCCAGTGCGGCCCTGAGGCCATGGGCGCAGTTCCTTCGCCGGCATCGGTTAGCCGCGTAGTTTTTTTTTTTTAGTTTGTGTTGTCACGTAAGTAATGATTGCTGGCCAAATCTGGCTGAATTTTGGCCCGCCCACCACACCAATCCCCCCCACCCCCCACCCCCTCCTAGTGGGCAATTGAGATGTCGTTGTCCAATCGGAACGGATTTGACACGCAAAGCAGGCTTTTTGCGACCAATATCATCCACAATAGAGGTTTTGTTTGGGGTTGGATCGTGTAAATATAAATGTCGTCAATTAGTAAGGGGTTTGTCACGTAAACAGAATGTGGCAAATTAGTTACTAGTACGGCACTAACCGCTTTGTGTGTTGGAGAGCGAATCCACAACATTTACAATCCTAGTACGACGTTTCGCCAGTAATTATAACTAGCATCATCAGGCTGACAGCCAGGACAAATCTCCAACACCGGTTAGTGCTGTACTAGTAACTAATTGGCACGTTCTGTTTACGTGACAAACCTTAATAATTGGCTGTGTCGGGTGGTGGCGGGTTTGATGACACAACATTTATATTTACGAGATCTAACCCAACAAAACCTCTGTTATCTGTGTAGGCCGTTGGTTGGTTCGTGAAACCGTGATTTCAACAAGCCCGTCTTTCCTTTTTCGGTTCGTCAGTTACGCGGCACAAAGTCACTTCTCGTGCCGTCGCCGCGCCAATTCTTTCCCCCTGCGGTTAACTCGGAGCCAACGCTTTGCCGACGACGATTTGCTGCACCAATTCAACCCCCCCCCCCCATCGTGCGACCGTGGCCAACTCTCGTTAGCCGAGCCCCCCGATCGATGCAACACGTATGTTTATTTTATTTCCCACCACCGTACGTAGCCGACCGCGCTAATCGGAGGTGGGGGGGGGGGGGAAGTACAACAAACGAAACGCAACAACAAAAAGCAGTTGTAATGAAAGGCGTTAGTCAATCTAGATGATGATGATGATTTAAAAGTGCATCATAGCTCCCAAGTGGCTTCCTAATATTGGAAGGAAGAGCCATTCCAGACGGCCGCAGAAGCGCGCGTCTGATGGAGCCACGCGTCTGATGGAGCCGCGCGTCTGATGGAGCCGCGCGTCTGATGGAGCCGCGCGTCTGATGGAGCCGCGCGTCTGATGGAGCCGCGCGTATGATGCGGTGACCACCGTTTTTATTTTGGCGGTTAGCCACAAGCCGCCGCTGCTGCGAGGATGACGACCCACATTTGCGTGACGCGGGATTTTGATGGTTGACTGTCACGATTTTCTCTCTCGATTCTGGGTTCACGATTTGGATTCAAGAATCAAATATTTGTTGTCGTCGTCGATTAACATTGTTCACCTCCTAGCAGCGGCGAGATTTTGACACGAAAGTGAAATTTCGTTCTTTTTGGGCGAATACGACACGGAAATCAAAAGTGCGGTCGGTTCCGTGCGTGCGCGCACACGCGCAATGCCGATGTCCCAACGCACGGAGCACGAGGCCGAGCTTCGATGCGACCCGGAGCATTGCGCGAGGGGATTCATTTGTTGGCGAGATCGGCAAAAGGCGTGCGCCGGTTTCTCCTGCGGGTTTTCTCCACCGTCAAAAGGAACCTTGGAAAAATTATTTTAGCGGCGATGCGGCCGCTGCGTTGTCAGTGTCGTGCGTCGAGCACGACACAGGGACACGCGCTCTGTCTCTCTCTCTCTCCGTGTCCCGCGGATCCGTCAGTAACGCTGCGTTCGTGCGGCCTTGAAAGGAAAAATCTGTAATCGGTGCGACGTTCCAGGCGATCCCCCCTGCCCCGCCCCGCCCCGCCCTTCTTTCGTAGCACGATTAATTCCACCCGTGCTCTCTGATGAAGGCCCGTTGCTGGACATGTCACCGATGGTATACTTTTCCTTGGAAGGCAAAATCGGAAACGCCCTTTGTTCGTTATTGACAAACGTGTTGAGTTATTTTTTTTAGCATTTTAAAAGTTTTTTGGTAATTGTAACGTGATTTCCCTTCGCTCCAGCCGAGTCTCCGATCCCTCCAACCCACCCCTGTCGCCATCCATAGGCTACTGTTGCGATGAACTGTACCGTTGATGCAAGGACTAATAAGACTTCGACTTGAGACTCCAGCTTCGGACAGAATCGTGTTCGTTTGTTTTTTTATCGTCTCGGTCACTTGTTGTTTGAAAAATATCGCGGGCGGTTCCCCCCCCCCCACGTTCACCGTTCTTAGTTTACAATTGAAGATACAATTGTAGTTCCTCGTAAAAGATGTCTGCTCGGCATTCACAAATCGGAGCGGCCGCGGCAATGTGCCGGGCGTGGCCTTGTCGCCGGAGTGCCGTTCGGAACTGACCGGCGGACGTTACGTAATTATCATAATTGGTTTTACCCTTTCTGGCAATAAAACAGGTGATGTTAAGATGTTCAAACACCAAACTTTTGCAAGGAATCATCTCTGCATTAACCACACCACGGTACTTGTGGTGAACATGTAAGCAAAATAACGCGTTCCGGTAGTATACGATGATGATGCATTGGCTTTGAAACTGATTGGTCCACACCAGAGACGGCTTTCTTGAGAGCCTCGTCTCAAACAGTGTGCAACAATGAACCCAATCTCGATTTGAAGTTTTCGTGGCTGCAGGAATCCATACTCTTTGGTTCTTTCGGTAAAGTCACGTGGGTAGAAAATAAAGTAAATCACGACGTTTCGGGCGCAACACAAGCGCCCATCGTCAGGTGGAAACAACCACGGCAATAAACAGATTGCTGAAGTAGCCTCGTGTCACAAGCAGCCTCCTCTTGCCCGCAACAGCAATTGATTATTGCTGTGGTTGTTTCCACCTGATAACGGGCACAAAGAGTAAGAATGAACCCTTCGCGATGACGTATACGACGTCGTACGTCATCGGCGACGTCGTTGGGTTATTCTCCCAGTTCCGTTACGATGACGCTGCGCGCGCACACGCGGTACACCGAGGCTCCCCCACAAGGCCGTGCGGGAGGGAGGGAGGGCGTGAGTGCGGCACGGTTTTTTGGCGCGGCTATCGTAGAGCGGCGTGGCGGTCGTGCTCCTACGGTTCTCTGCGGTGAGTACCAACGTCTTGATGATGACGACGCTGCTGCTGCTGCTACGCCGAGCCACTCCCAGGTTGTGGGGGTGGAGTGTCTGATGCCACAAAATAACCAGGCAGGTGCTTCGTTTTGGTGGGGCTGATGGTAAGGCCTCGCATCTTCGTGGCACGCTCCAGGTTCAGCAGCAGCGCCTCCAACTCCTCCTCTGAGTGAGCAGCAATCACCAGATTATCAGCATACATAACGTGGTTGACCAATAGGGAGCCATCCCTCATCCGCACCCGGGCATCGATCAGCCTCCCATTGTATCTGTACCAGATGGAAATTCCTCCGGTACAGCCATCGAAGGCTTCACGAACTACTTGGTCGAATAAGATGTTAAATAATGTGGGAGCCAGAGGACATCCCTGTCACACCCCAAGGTGTACAGGGAATGGCTCCGACTCCCGGCCACGTAGCATTACCCGGGCCCGCTCACCATCATGAAGGTCCTTAATGATCATGAGCAGAGGGTCAGGGACTCCAAAAGCACGAAGAACAACCCAGAGCCCAGGCCTACTGATGGTATCATAGGCCTTGACCAGGTCAATAAAGCAGAGATGTAGGTCTTGCTGGAATTCCCTACACCTCTGCTGTAGCAGACGGACAGAAAATATGGCATCTGTGCAGGACGGCCCTTTCCTGAAACCGCATTGGGGCTCCGCAAGCCTCTCCTCAACGTGCCTGGCAAGGCGATGTTGAATAATCCTTGCCAGGACCTTTCCCGGCACACTGAGGAGTGAGATGCCCCTGTAGTTAAAGTCTGTGCGGTCCCCCTTCTTAAAGATGGAATCCACCAGGGCATCCGTCCAGTGGCCCAGGCCACCCTCCCTCAACATTTCGCTTGGGAGATCATCTCTGCCCGGCACCTTTCCTGGTCTCAGACTCAGGATCGCCTTCAGTACTTCCTCAACAGATGGCACTTCAGCCAGACACAGGGGGTGACTACTACTTCCGATATTTGAGGCACTTCAGCCTGAGCAGGGTCATCTCGACTTTGCCCCATGATGTTTTCCAGGCTGAGGGATTTCCCCTCCCCCAAGTCCTCAGAAATGCTCTGCAAATCTGCAAACCAGGCACACGCAGACACGTGCACTGACGCACACACGGAACACACAACTCCCCTGTCGTCGTGCAGGGACTCCTCTACTTACGAACGAGTTAGGTGACAGGTATGTACGGAGTGTACACTAAACACGGGGAATGGCTTTAAAAGTTGTATAATCTCCTGTATACATAAATACTACCGTGTCTTCACGTTCTGTATATGTAGATGCCACTGGTTCTTTCATCGTCTGCAGATGTAGATGCCACTGGTGCTTCACGTTCTGCTGATGTAGATGCCACTGGTTCTTCACGTTCTGCAGATTAAGATGCCACTGGTTCTTCACGTTCTGCAGATGTACATGCCACTGGTTCTTCACGTTCTGCAGATGTAGATGCCACTGGTTCTTCACGATCTGCAGATGTAGATGCCACTGGTTCTTTGCGATCTGCAGATGTAGATGCCACTGGTTCTTTCATCGTCTGCAGATGTAGATGCCACTGGTTCTTCACGTTCTGCAGATGTAGATGCCACTGGTTCTTCACGTTCTGCAGATGTAGATGCCACTGGTTCTTCGCGATCTGCAGATGTAGATGCCACTGGTTCTTTCATGTCTGCAGATGTAGATGCCACTGGTTCTTCACGTTCTGCAGATGTAGATGCCACTGGTTCTTCACGTTCTGCATATGTAGATGCCACTGGTTATTTCATCGTCTGCAGATGTAGATGCCACTGGTTCTTCATGTTCTGCAGATTAAGATGCCACTGGTTCTTCACGTTCTGCAGATGTAGATGCCACTGGTTCTTCACGATCTGCAGATGTAGATGCCACTGGTTCTTCGCGATCTGCAGATGTAGATGCCACTGGTTCTTTCATCGTCTGCAGATGTAGATGCCACTGGTTCTTCACGTTCTGCAGATGTAGATGCCACTGGTTCTTCACGTTCTGCAGATGTAGATGCCACTGGTTCTTCACGTTCTGCAGATGTAGATGCCACTGGTTCTTCGCGATCTGCAGATGTAGATGCCACTGGTTCTTTCATGTCTGCAGATGTAGATGCCACTGGTTCTTCACGTTCTGCAGATGTAGATGCCACTGGTTCTTCACGTTCTGCAGATGTAGATGCCACTGGTTCTTCGCGATCTGCAGATGTAGATGCCACTGGTTCTTCATGTTCTGCAGATGTAGATGCCACTGATTCTTCACGTTCTGCAGATGTAGATGCCACTGGTTCTTCACGTTCTGCAGATGTAGATGCCACTGGTTCTTCACGTTCTGCAGATGTAAATGCCACTGGTTGTTCACGTTCTGCAGATGTAGATGTCACTGGTTCTTCACGTTCTGCAGATGTAGATGCCACTGATTCTTTACGTTCTGCAGATGTAGATGCCACTGGTTCTTCACGTTCTGCAGATGTACATGCCACTGGTTCTTCACGATCTGCAGATGTAGATGCCACTGGTTCTTCACGTCCTGCAGATGTAGATGCCACTGGTACTTCACGTTCTGCAGATGTAGATGCCACTAGTTCTTCACGTTCTATAGATGTAGATGTCACTGGTTCTTCACGTTCTGCAGATGTAGATGCCACTGGTTCTTCACGATCTGCAGATGTAGATGCCACTGGTTCTTCACGTTCTGCAGATGTAGATGCCACTGGTTATTCACGTTCTGCAGATGTAGATGCCACTGTTTCTTCACGATCTGCAGATGTAGATGCCACTTGTTCTTTCATCGTCTGCAGATGTAGATGCCACTGGTTCTTAACGTTCAGCAGATGTAGATGCCACTGGTTCTTCACGTTCTGCAGATGTAGATGCCACTGGTTCTTCACGTTCTGCAGATGTAGATGCCACTGGTTCTTCGCGATCTGCAGATGTAGATGCCACTGGTTCTTTCATGTCTGCAGATGTAGATGCCACTGGTTCTTCACGTTCTGCAGATGTAGATGCCACTGGTTCTTCACGTTCTGCAGATGTAGATGCCACTGGTTCTTCGCGATCTGCAGATGTAGATGCCACTGGTTCTTCATGTTCTGCAGATGTAGATGCCACTGATTCTTCACGTTCTGCAGATGTAGATGCCACTGGTTCTTCACGTTCTGCAGATGTAGATGCCACTGGTTCTTCACGTTCTGCAGATGTAAATGCCACTGGTTGTTCACGTTCTGCAGATGTAGATGTCACTGGTTCTTCACGTTCTGCAGATGTAGATGCCACTGATTCTTTACGTTCTGCAGATGTAGATGCCACTGGTTCTTCACGTTCTGCAGATGTACATGCCACTGGTTCTTCACGATCTGCAGATGTAGATGCCACTGGTTCTTCACGTCCTGCAGATGTAGATGCCACTGGTACTTCACGTTCTGCAGATGTAGATGCCACTAGTTCTTCACGTTCTATAGATGTAGATGTCACTGGTTCTTCACGTTCTGCAGATGTAGATGCCACTGGTTCTTCACGTTCTGCAGATGTAGATGCCACTGGTTCTTCACGTTCTGCAGATGTAGATGCCACTGGTTCTTCACGTTCTGCAGATGTAGATGCCACTGTTTCTTCACGATCTGCAGATGTAGATGCCACTTGTTCTTTCATCGTCTGCAGATGTAGATGCCACTGGTTCTTAACGTTCAGCAGATGTAGATGCCACTGGTTCTTCACGTTCTGCAGATGTAGATGCCACTGGTTCTTCGCGATCTGCAGATGTAGATGCCACTGGTTCTTCGCGATCTGCAGATGTAGATGCCACTGGTTCTTTCATCGTCTGCAGATGTAGATGCCACTGGTTCTTCACGTTCTGCAGATGTAGAAGCCACTGGTCTTCACGTTCTGCAGATGTAGATGCCACTGGTTCTTCGCGATCTGCAGATGTAGACGCCACTGGTTCTTTCATGTCTGCAGATGTAGATGCCACTCGTTCTTCACGTTCTGCAGATGTAGATGCCACTGGTTCTTAACGTTCTGCAGATGTAGATGC